CCAAATCATCATTTTCATGCACCAACTTCATAAATGTATCCCTAAACTGCACCCAATGTTCATAATCCCCATAAAACTTAGGCAATGTGATTTTTGGCAGACTAACTTTTGATTTAAATCTTTCACCCGATGGTGATTGAATAACGTTCGACAAATTTGTATGTTTCATATTATGTGCAAATATTAACTGTCTTGCCGAAGCCACTGCAGAAAAAAATGAATCTTTAAACTGTCTCCTTTCCTGTATCAAGCCAGTACCCTTTAACCTTTCCATCCTACTCAATATACTATTGAATTCCTGATATGCCTCATCCATTTTCTCTAACCTTACTTGAAGTTCAATTGTTCGTGATTCTGTATAATTATCTATAAATTCCTCAAATTCTGTTAAGTCCGCTAAAAGACTATCCTTCTGTATCGACAAGTTTTCCAACTCTGTCTGAATCTCTACTTCAGACATGATTATTTCTATCAAAAATTCTCTTTTAACTCTAATGTTCAATATCAAAAATTATTACTGATTTCACTGGTCGAAGCGGTCAATAAGGTAGGGTATGGAAAGGTATTGAAAGGAAGGACTCACCCCGTATTCTGTTGCTTTCTTCTATAGCTTCTCCGTGGGCGGTCTGGTATCCCGTGGTCGATGTGGTCTGGCGTTTGATTTCTCCTGATGACGTCGATATATAATTTGTTGATGGACGCTGGGACTGCTATTGATGTTGGTACGTTTGTTCGTTGCTTCTGTTCCCGATGCTGGAACTGCTACCGATGTAAATTTCGTTCTGGGTTGTTCTATTGTTTCTGTTTCCCACAATAGGAACTTGATCGATTTGATGATATTCTGCGATGATGATTTTGATCTCGTGATAATTCGACCGGTCTGTCGAATCTTTCTTTGATTGAAGTATTCGATCCAACCTCAATCCCTCGTATGATGATTAGTATAACGATCACTAATCATCAATACCTCGTTCCGTTCACGCTCAATAATCACTCACGCTCACGATATATAACAGTTGATTACTGATTTATAATCCGGCTCGAAGGACCATGTGCGATCTTGTCTGTCATAGACGGTATTTTTTCTACTCGATTTATACTGATCAATAAAACACTAGTTGACTAATACACTACATTTATTAATCAACTCCGACTGATGTGATATATACAGAGAACAACCCGAATTCGTGTATGCCTATACGACAGCTTCTTGAAAACAGTACTAACTCGAATTGGTGCCAGAGCCCAGAAGGGACGCTTGCACTTAGCCAAAAAAGATATATAAAACAGATGTAATTTATGCTCACATTTGGTTTTCTAGACATACTTGAAATATTTGGCGAGACACTTTTAAGCCAATCATATTCGACAATCAACAGCATGCCCTTATATGGAAAATAGTCTAAGCGAGAAAGAACCTTAAGCTTACAAACCTACATAAAAAACCGTTAAGTTTGAACAGGTGATGACCGTGAAACGGTAGAAGCAGAAAGTGGTAATTCAATAATTGAAGAAGGAGATGAAGAAAAGTCTGAAGGGGAAAATGAAACAGATAACGAAGATTCAGAAAATACTATACAAGATGGGGATCTCAATACCACCGCGGATTTCCTTGCTGCTATACGAAAAGAAATTCAGAGGGATATGGATGAATTATTGCCTATAGACAAACGAGTTTTGGTGAGTGTTGTTCGGCATATTTGAATGAAAGGATGCGCTGACTGGGTTTGTCGGTTCTGGCTGTTATTGCTAGTGATGAAATGATAGCACAGATTTCCCGCGGAATATTGAAGAGTGATTAGTCTTAAATGAATTATATAACTCATTCTCGTATTTTCAAGTACTTAATGATTAATTGAATGAAGTGCTGTGATTGGCTGCCTGATGCCGTGATGCCGGTCATGATTCTCTCAATATATATCGAGCGCTGTGATTGGTTGCTTGATGCCGTGATGCCGGTCATGATTCTCTCAATATATATCTACTATTGTGATCAAGTGAATGAGTCAACTTTGATAACACCCTGTAACACACCGGACATCATGCATTATTATTCAAATCAGGTATACCTATATACTGGTCATTTGAAATGATAAAGATAACGTCTTCTGAAGGAAATTTAAAGAAATGTACTGAGTTATTCGAAATCGGCTATATCTAGGGATATCATCCTGAAATAGTACAACAATAGAGTACATGAGGTCAGTCATATTAGCCGTCAACAACGCTTGGTTTGAATATGTTCCACAAAATTGTTTTGGAATTTTTGGTCACACTATCTCGGTATATCTTGTTGGAGAATCTATGTATACATATTATTATTACATACTACATTTCAGTTATACAGACTTAGTAAAAAGTATGGAACCACCTAGTACCTACATACAGGGTGTCTGTAAAAGGTCTTTACAAAAACATACCACATATTCCTTAGACCAAAATAAGTCGATTTAAGTAAAATTACCTCAGTACAAAGTTGTATCGTTTGGGCTCCAGAGGGCCTTGAAGTTACAATTTTTAAATCGTTTTTCCCATATAAATTTAAAATGGCATATGCGATTTTGCTGAAATTTGGTATATTGATAGAGTATTATGTGGCAAAAAATGGTGTCAAAATTTTGTGCGATAATAATACATAGACGTAGAACTTGATTTTTTAAATAATTGCACCTTTAAAAATTCTACGCCAATGGAAGAAAAGGAGTTTGAGTATGAAATTTAGATAGCGCAACTCATTTACTTTAAAAAAGGTACTCTTGATAAGACTCGATTGCTCTCATGGTTTTGACGATATATGCATTTTAGTACATAAACAATAATTATTAAAATACAAACTTTGTCAAAACCATGAGAGTAAATCGAGTGTTATCAAGGGTACTTTTTTATAGTAAAGGAGTACCCAATCCAAATTTCATACTCAAACTCCTTTTCTGCCATTGGCGTAGAATTTTTGAAGGTGCAATTATTTGAAAAATCAAGTTCTACGCCTATGTATTATTATTAATTTTCTTCGACGTATGAATCTTTGTGTGCGTGAAAATGATGAACATTTTGAACAATTTTTGTAAAATCTCTATTTATTTTGATCATGTTGTAAATAAATATTTTTGTGAAACCTATACACTTCAAATTATTAAAACAGAAATTTAGCGAAAACCATGAGAGTAATCGAGTCTTATCAAGAGTACCTTTTTTAATGTAAATGAGTTGCGCAATCTAAATTTCATACTCAAACTCCTTTTATTCCATTGGCGTAGAATCGTTAAAGGTGCAATTATTAAAAAAAATCAAGTTCTACGCCTATGGATTAATATCGGACAAAAATTTAACACCATTTTTTTGCCACATAAAACTTTATCAATATACCAAATTTCAGCAAAATCGCATATGCCGTTTTAAATTTATATGGAAAAAACGATTTAAAAATTGTAACTTCATGGCCCTCTGGAGCCCAAACGATGCAAATTTGTACTGAGGTAATTTTACTCAAATCGACTTATTTTGGTCTAAGAAATTTATGGTATGTTTTTGTAAAGACCTTTTACAGGCACCCTGTATATTATCTGGAAATTGTTCATTCCCATATAGGAATATCAAAGGATTCAAAAAATGATACCAGATGCAGTGTAATGGTATATACCAATTTGAAACAATGATAAACCGTTGTGACAAAGATAATACACACCATAGATAGACACCCTAAATGTTCGAATGGCAACGCTCAGTTGGGACTAGAGTCACTAGATGGTATTAGTAGATAAGAGTTCGGACACAGCTGAACTTCTGTCCTTTTCTATTTTCTATATTACAATGGTTTGAGTGAATAAAAGAATAAGACATATATTCTGCTCTTTGTCTTTTCAATTTCCCTAGTAGTACCTGATTGTCAGATACGATTTTAGAGGTTAGATTGCCGGTCGAATCAATCATTTTAATGGCAAAATGGACACATATGGATACACTAATAGCCAGTTCGGTCGGTATTATAAGCGATTCAATGATATATCACGTTGCAATTTACTTGATTTCCTCAGGTACGTTCTCAAATTTTCAATTTCATTATGTACTTTTGCAATCCATTTCTCTTTCTCCATGATAGTTTTGTTTTGCATTTCGTGTGATGCTAAATAATAGATTCTCTTTTCAAATAGTCTGTTTTGTAAATGAATGGAACAGCAAATTGTTTGTTTGAAAATATGGGACCAAAATATAGTTTCATTTCAATCTGCTGCTATAAAAAGTGAATTTCAATGTATGTACCTCACAAATTTTGCTTGTCTTCAAATCAATTTTCCATCCAGGCTGTTTCATACATTCCTTCCATGAGAGAATGGGAAGGGGGGAGAAGTTGAGTGTGGAGTACCTCAAGGGTCAGTGCTGGGCCCAGTTCTCTTTCTGCTCTATATAAATGATTTAGCATCCATTGATATTCGAGGATATGAATAATTTATAAAATTATATTTCAATTCTGACGCCCATAAATATTTATTGTCAAATTCAAACAGTGTTTGAATGAAAAAGCGCGGAACGACCATAGTGCTCTTGTCACAATGCAAGGTGTGTGACTTAATGAATCTAAACATTTAAAAACACTAGCAGTTGTCATTTCTGATGTGTCCGAACTCTTATCTAACTAATACCATCCAGTGACTCTAAGTTGGGACGTAACACAGCGGTGGATAATCCAGTTGTGTTATAACACCGAGTATTTCACCGACTCCAATATTAATATTTTAACGAATCAGCATAGCCGATCAGCCGCCGGTCTGTTACGTTCCATTAGAGCGTTGCCAATATTTACACAGGCGTTGTCTATCCAGAGTGTGTATTATCTTTGGTTGTGATGATACCAAGGTTATTCCGTACCTTACTAACTGTATGTAGGTAAATTTAAATTTAATTTACGACTTCATGTCGAAGTTCTACACTAAAAAGTGACTCACCTTGTAGATGATACTGTCACATTGCACATTCAACTTCCTTATTATTCCCTTTGTTAGATGCGGAGAACCTTCTGAGGAGCATCCGAGTATGAACCAATTGAGGCATCGACAGCATCTTTCGGATTGCCTGAAATCACTCCAGTTATTTTTAGATGAAGTTTCCTCTGATGATACCAAAGAATACGATTTGGTAATAATGGCTGAATATTTGAGAAAATCGCTAAGACAACTTGGAAAGCTGGTAGGAAATGTGACTACTGATCAATTACTCAACGTTATCTTTAAGGACTTTTGTATAGGAAAATGAGAAGTTGTGTGATTTGAACAGATTAGTGGAGAAACTTGATGCGATATCAACAACAACACGTATCAGAATGTTTCAGGTTTGAGATTTATAAAAGGTGATCAAACACGATTTAATGTACAATGAAATCTTTGTTTTTTCATGTCCATCTTATCCTAATCCAATTATAATTTCTGTCACTGTCCAGACCAACCAGTTGATCAATTTTTTCTTGTCATATATATGCAGAATAAATAGTATCCTTCAAAATAGAGTGAAAGTCTGTAATTATTTCTTACAAACGCGATACAGAAAGAATATTTCTACTTGAAATATCACATATGGTAAGAAATTCTAAATGATGATGAATATGCACGGGAACTTATATTTGTGTCAGCTGTTACTTTTGCCTTATACAAGTAAACGACGCCACTATTTGAATTCATCTGCCCGCAGACAACGAAGAAAAACATATATCGCTGTCTAACCACATTAAGTATGTTTGTGAAGTGCTTGTCAATATTCAACATTGCAAAATTTGAGACAGAAAATGCAATTTTTTTTACTCACCTAGAATAATATGTATTCATAATGAAAGTCTAAATACGTATTTTAACATTAAAGTCAACATTTTCAATTGTGCATTTTTTCTTTTTTGTCCTCTCTTACATGGGTAATGATACAAATTTTTTGCTTCAATTTCGGAGTTTTTGTCCTCTCTTACATGGGTAATGATACAAATTTTTTGCTTCAATTTCGGAGATACCCTGTACACACTTTCATATTTCGACCTTTTGTTTTCAACCTCTCATCATTTATAGGTACCGTTCCCAGTATGCCAATACTGGTATGACACGTCAGGTTGGCCTGAAAATAAGTGTTCAAACCGAAATGACAGATTTCTTAGCTTACAAAAATGATAATACGCAGGCATACTCATCTATGCCCATACATTTATAATAAAAAACTTTCACTCATCACTGTTCGATTATAAAAACATCAGCCTGTCAAAATTAAAATAAATTCCTTTTTATTGTTTCTTCAAATACAATTTTGGAAAATTCAAATTTTTGGCGTTCAGTGTTCTACGTACAAAGAATAAAAAATTGTCACATTTTGGCCGCCTTCAGGGCACCTCGTCAGGCATAAGGACATTTCGGAAGTTCAAAACACATTCCAATATTTATATAGCCTTGTTCCTAAAAGATGACAAAGAATATGTGCCCAGACTCAGAGCACGAATGTTGCGATCATCAACTCACTGTCAGTTCAAAAACGGAATCCCAAAAGCTCGCTGAGAGAAATGGTGGCATCAGTCAAAAGTGCAGTCACCAGTCAGTCATATCGTTCGTGACTTGATGAAAGCGACTTTATGTGCAAAACCGAATTGTTTAGATACTCTAGGCCTAGGCTCAGAGTACTAAACGCCTTTATACTCTCCCTTTTGGCGCCGGACTTCTTTGGTGCGTCGGACTATACATCAGCTTCTCTTCCTGGGTATTACGACCTTTCGTTGGACCCAAGAGATCAAAATTATATTTTCCCACAACTGTGAAAAAAACTGCATTCTTTCAATATATTTTGTGTGCCTAAAGTGTACAATTTTTCAATATCAAAATACTGTCATTATTTTACGGAAAAAAAAAAATCACTTTTTTCACGGTTGTTGCTAGGCGATGGAATGAATGCTTGCGTGAAAGGGGCGCATACCCTGCGTTGTTGGTAGGCTATTTTGTTCGACCAACAAGTCTGAACAACGCAATCTATGGGCTCCTTTACATGATTCAGCAAGGCAGCAAGCGAACAAATCAAGGCGCCAACGATATCCTCGCGTACGTATTAGATTATATGCTCACACCTCCTGTATTATTTGATCATCATCGCTGAACGCGAGCGGGATGAGCGATTTATTCAAATTTGCAGAAGGTTGCTCTGGCTATTTCGTTCTCAGAAACCAGGTGTCATCAATAAAGCGACATGAAATGAGTAAATGTACTTGATAATAATTGCGAAATATCATTTACATCAAGTTGAATGGGGTTGTCCTCTTTTTTGACAGTTTTATGAAAAATATTGTATGTAACACGTGCGTAAAGTGTTTTTTCTACAAGCGTGCGTGATTCACTCTATACCCGCACGCAATTTAGTTTGGAAAGTGTCATTTTCCCGCAACATTGCGGTAAAATTTTTCCCACACTAGTGCGGGAAAAACAAAGATATGATAATATGGCAAAATATGAGTGGTAGGTGATGAAATATGAGAGTTTGAGTTTGTTTGTTGCAGTATTAAAGTAGAATGTTCAGAATCATCCATCAAATTGCACTATTTATTGTGAAAATTAAGAAATATTGAGGAATAAAGATTGATTATTATAAAAAATCCCCCTATAGATTTGGATCGATTTGATGGAAAACGATCATTGTTGTCATGCCAACGAGTTTGTAGTTGTCGAAGTGACAGACACAGCGTTACTGTCATTTTCGATTCAGTGGAATTGCCACAATGTGATCAAAAACTTCCAGCTATAGGGATGCGATACAGATGCGTTATTGCCAACGAAGTCTTAAGAAAGGTATGAGAAGCTATACACGCGTTTTATTGAATGGTGCAACAATAAAGAAATAAAAATACCGAATAAAGAAAAAGAATTTTTGGCTCATTTCCTAGGAGTGTCTGAAACCTAGGGACCAAACATCTTATGGGCCTGCTGGCTTCCGCAATAAACCCATATACATAATGCGTCAAACTGTAAGTTCACAATAGCTAATTATAGACTGTTGGCCCGCGACACAGGGTTTATCGATGTTCTAAGTCGGTATGCCATTTAAGGGACCCACTCACTCAGTCCAAGTTAACAATTAGAAGTGCCTCGGAGAGTCGCAACCCCCAGTCCTTGCCCCGGCCCTGTCCTCACCTTTCGGTTGGAAAAACTTTCAAAATTTAGTTTAAGAAGAAGCTCGGCAATGAAGTGCAATGATCTTATCTCACGAAAATTGGGGCGCTTGCCGGTTTGCATACGCCTAGGTCACTCCCCAAGGGCGGCATACGAACCGGAAGTGGAAATTTTTCAGTGTTATAGTCGATGATCGAAGAATGTATGCCCTTTGGCGAAACAATAAATTCTGACCCATTAATCAGTTTCCCGACATTTGCATACGATTCCGGAGAGGGGAGCTCGATTTATTCGAACATCATTTGACTGGATATTCTTCAAATAATCGATAATCGAAGAAATGTTCAAATTTTGACAATGGTTAGTGGACCACACAGTATATATGAGATAATGGTTTGCATACAATTTGCACATTCCGTACAGGGTGTTTCACCATAAATATCTCCCATTGTAACTCAGTTGTTTCTGAACCGATTTTAAAATTTCAAGAACTAATTAAAATGATTTTCCTAAGAGATTTTTCATTGTTATCAAAAAATTGACAGGCTGTTTATAACAAATGAATTATATGGGATAGTGGTTGATTTTTTTTACTGGAACACTATATTTTATTTCACTATCGAGTTGAGATTATCAAGAATACAACTCTACAGCATCTAGCGATATCATTTACACGCAGCACTCTTATAATATAGCGATCATGCGCCAAATTGTCCCAGAAATATGAATCCCGGATTTGAAGTATTTCCTTTTATTTGCTGAAACAATTTTCATATTTGAACAATGATTTGCTGCGTCAGCCGGGTAGAGTGTAGCACGTAATGATTTAGGCATTCAATAATGTTCTTCCTCTTCATCGGAGATCCGATATTTAAATATCTGAAAAACCATTTACTTTTGTATAATGTATATTACAGATTTATTCACTTCCTACTGCCTCCCCTAACAGTATATAGTATGAATCGGATTACCATTAACCCAGTATGTGTGAATCTTATCGCTAAACGCCAGTCAACGTCATTGTCAGTTACATAAAAAATAATGAAGGGTGCTGGGCCCTTGATACTTTTTTGGGTACGATTTCAATTGGTACCTTGGTGAAGCTCTTCCAGCAGAGGTTGGTGATATCATAATCTCTGAGACTTCAACTGAGAAAGTAACTATCAGGTATATCTTTCGAGCATGCCAAGAATTTTCAATAATCAAATAATATTCTAACTAACAGGTACTGATGACAACTCTGAAGAATCATCTTCAGACAGCGAGAGCAAAGATGACTCTGAAGATAATGATATAGAGAGGACGACGTATAATTTTTCCTTTGAAACATAATGTTGTTTTCATTTAATATAATTTTATTTTCAAATATTTTTTTTTTATGTGAAAAACAAAGATGTAGATTAAAGTTCAGGATACAGGCCCCATACTATACCCAAAACATTCAACAAATTGAATGTACATTCTTTATATATTTTTGAGACGCCAGTATTATGATAAGCAGTCCCATAAGCCCCAGGGAAAAATTTCAATTCGATTTATTTTTTCGATCATGAGCAATGATCCCTGTACGATTTCTCTTGATCATCCTGAGAGTATCTTGTTGTCATTTCTTTTCATCGTCTTTTCAAAGCCCTGTTTTCCAAATTAAAATCACACAAAACAATTTCTTGGTACTAAACCTCTCACACATGTAATTTTGATGAGCTGTAAATTTCTGATGAATAAATACAAATATATCTGCAATTTGCGTCTTCCAATCACTCCCAGGAAGTTTTTCTTTGACCCGGTTTCATGTGAAGTGAGATTATGAGACTTCCCGATTATCTAGTTCGCTTTCGGCTGTGCCTCTGGCCTGAAGTGCGGGGCGCCGCGCCGGACCGAGGCACGCGCGGGTTTGCCCGATTATTACAACGTATGCTCACATTGAATTCGTATGCAAATAGCAGCCAGTTATGAAGAATATCCTAGTTTATCGGTCTGGATATTTGCATACGAACTTAAATCATCGATTATTTGAAAGATGTCTAGTCAATTGATGTTCGAATAAGTCGAGCTCCCCTCTCCGGAATCGTATGCCAATGTCGGGAAACTGATTAATGGGTCAGAATTCATTGTTTTGCCAAAGGGCATACATTCTTCGATCATCGACTATAACACTGAAAAATTGCCACTTCCGGTTCGTATGCCACCCTTGGGGACTGACCTAGGCGTATGCAAACCGGCAAGCGCCCCAATTTTCGTGAGATAAGATCATTGAACTTCATTGCCGAGTTTCTTCTTAAACAAAATTCTGAACTCCAACCGAAAGGTGAGGTCAGGGCCGGGGCAAGGACTGGGTTGCGAATCTCCGAGGCACTCCTTCCTGTTAACTTGGACTAAGTGAGTGGGCCCCTTAAATGGCATACCGACTTAGAACATCGATAAACCCTCTGTGTCGCGGGCCAACAGCCTATTAGCTATTACTAATAATCAGTAGATAGAGAATATATTTTTTCAGTTAGTTGTTCCAATATGATTGAATGATTAATTGAACAAATCAATCAATTTCCTACGCTTGTAGGAAAAATATTGTTCCTAACTCATGCGGAAAGTGTCTTTCCCGCACTCGACTGCTTGCCCGAACTCCGCTTCGCGTCGTTCGTGTCAACGGCAGTCGCGTGCGGGAAAGAATAACTTTCCGCACTTGTTTCCTACTATTTGCACTCCGCTTTCGGCGTCGTGCGTCAACATTCCCTACTCGTGAAAAGAGTAGAGGTACCACTTTATACACACTTGTTACATAAATAACAATTACAAAATGAAGGCCGTTCATAAATGGAGAGAAGGCAATTTCCAACGATATAAATTTCAATTTATAGTACATCCCTTTTAATAATAAAGCGTTTAGTGAGATAGGGGCGATAGGGCTAATTTGCTTTTTATGGCTATAGGCACTAGTCGAGTAGGTACTAGAGACAATAACCGTCTGAAATAAAATCAAGAGCTGAGGTGATTGATTATCGACAGTGATATATTCTTTCGTTTGTAACTAACTGCAATCATTCACTTGAACTCAACTGAATCAGTTGACATGCAGTAATTTAATTAAAGTATTTCAAAAAACGCATGTATCCTGATTTATTTCAGTTCTATTGGATTATTTCAGTTAGTTCAGATTGAAAGAATAACGCTAGGTTATTATTTGTGGTTCTACCTTGAGTCCCGGTAATTGAGTGGTATACACCGTGTCCCAGCTAAAATGTCCCCCCTCCCCGTAAAAAAATCAACCGCGCGATCGAATGACTTGAAATTTAATCACCCAATATATTTGATGATGCTCATTCGAAATATGCTATGGAATAAATCGTAGGTATACAGGGTTCACACCGAAGTGCACCCAAACTTTCCTATTTGAATAGTGACACCCAGTATATTATTCCATATTCTAGCACAGATTAACAATTGTTAATCTGTGTAGTAGAGTTCATTATTACAAATTCAACAATGCCTGGTTTGATGGGATTTTTTCAAACGACTACGAAGATATGGCAAAAAATAAAACGATTCAATAAAAAAATTATGATTATATATTTTATTAATATAACACGATTGAAATCGGATGAAAAGAAGATAATTAAAACCTCAACTGCTCATATGTCGTCCATTCTGCTGCAAACATTTCCTAGCTCTTTTGATAACGTTCATCATTGTGACCCTATGTATCACGTTGCGATCAATTAGTGCGTATAAATTCGTGATTTTCTCTTTCATTTCTTCCATATTCACAATTGGCGACTCATAAACCTGTTGTTTCAAGTAGCCCCACAAATAAAAATCAAGTGGGGTGAGATCTGGCCACCGAGCTGGCAAGGTGCTATTACCATCGAGACAAATGGTGGTTATTATATAAATGTTCTCCAAACCGATGGCGAAGATAATCCTTTACGGGTGTGTAGTTATATATGTACAGGACACCCATCTTGTTGAAAGAATATGTATTCTTGTTGAGGTTTCAATTATATTGTTTTCGTCGTTCGATTCCAATCGTGTTATATTGATGAAATCTAATCATATAAATTTTTCATTGATTCGTTTTATTTTTTGCCATATCTTTGTAGTCGTTTGACAAAATCCCATCAAACCCGTCATTGTTGATTTTGTAATAATGAACTCTACTTGAATATGGAATAATATACTGGGTGTCCCTATATTCAAGTAGGAAAGTTTAGGTGCGTTACCCTGTATATTTACGATTTATTCAATAGCATATTTCGAGTGAGCATCATCAAATATCCAGTTTATATTTCAAGTCATTCGAATGCGTCGTTGATTCTTTACAGGGGGGGGGGGCGTTTTAGCTGATGGGACACGGTGTATATTTGCATATTCTATTCTCATCAATATTCGGATATAAATAAACACGAAAAGTTCAAAGTCATATCCACACAATAATGTTCATAAAACGAGCAACAATGATAGATCTCGGTAGAAAAACAACTACTTCCCTGCTGGCTAATGCCACGCCGAACATTGAATCACGTCCTCCTGAAATCTATGCATCGACTCGTTATAAACGAATACTGATACAAGTGATTCTTTCCTGAATGCCGAATGCCTATTGTTGTCCATTTAGCCAGGCCACGCTAGACACCTACAGACCGATTTCGAGCTCTTTGACTCATCAGTGCAGGACAGTCTCCAGCCAGCAGTCATATGACCGCCGACTAAGCGTAGCCTAGCCAAACAGAAATCAAGTCGGCATTATAATCCCCCAGAAGCGTCTTCCATAGTCAGTATCGCTATCGGACCACTAGTCACAAACGACATGAATGGGTATTAGAAAACGAAAAAACAAAACGAAATCAAATACATTTTTGCTGAAAAAAGAATTTTAGAAGATATGGAGATTTTAAATTTCCCAGCAACTTTTGAGAATCACTCCCCAGAGGTTAACGACCGAACACAAATGAGGTCAAGAGCACTGATGAGAATTTAATAAGTTTGGCAATGTTGCCGGATGTTGAATAAAAACTAAGTACCAGATGGTATGGCATCTCCAAGCTTTTTTCACAAAGCGTGAAAAACATTGGGAGCCAACTTGAGGTATAAGATATTCTTCATTCAATATCTGAAAAACGTGAGGATTAAAAAAAATTGAGACATTTTGAGTAGGGTTACCATTTCCAAAAAACAATTCCGGTTGATAGTAATTCACGCTATGTCTGAAAAAGGTTATTTACAGGACATGTAAAATCCTTAGGCTTTTTATTGAATTAACAATCAAACAACAAAACAGGAAACCCACATCAAAACCAGTTGAAGAATTATTCCTCTTTAGGAAAGAGTTCTTCATTCACAGTAACATGGGAATAACCTGGTTTGGGTCAACACACAATCACCCTTGAGAAACAGACACCGCTAAAATTGGGACAAACAACAGTCTTCACTCTTCTTTCAGTCTCAGTCGGTCGGTTTTTTCTATATGTGGTAGTTGTGATACTCATTCAACTTATTAGTTACGTATGATTACGAGATACCTATAGTGCTATATTTTAATCAATTGTACTTGTCTGGGTTCATCCTCAAGTACTTTTTGTTGTGAATCTTTCAAGATTATAAAAACATGTTAGTTTCACTTGTGGCATTGTGCATGTATTGGATATTTTAGTTCTGGCAACAGTGCGAGAGAACTCTGTTCAATTCTGAAAATTTTTTGAAAATTCTCGAGTTCTAATTTTTTGCCATTTATTGTGTCATTATGTGTAATCAAACACCCCACTATATTTATTGCTTCAGTTCGAGGAACACACTGTATAGTTAGTACATCACTTAATTCTGAAATCATTCTCAAATATTAGTATTTGTTGAGATTACCAATATAAGGCGGACTCTGCCATTATATTTATTTCTATTTGGAATAGTATGTGAAGTAAAATTTTAATTCAGGATCATCAATCTTCAAAAAATAAATCCATGTGATCTCAAAACTGGAAAATTCGATTTTTGTGAAGAAAATATTGGGTTCAAGGAGCTTCACTTAGTGGCACTATGACTTCTATTCCACATACATAGTTATTTATTCAGTTTGAAATTATATGAACGTTGTGATCCCCATTTACATTTTGGGATATTTGATATATGCATAGATATGCAAAAACAAAAATAAATGGAGAAAAAATTAGGAACCTTGAGTCAATGAAAGTCCGGTGAAACTATAAATTTATATTTAACCAATTCCAAGTAAAAATTATTGCGTAAAACCATAAATGGTTTATACTGATCATCTTTCAAACTTATACTAAATATCAAAACAAGTCTTTAAAAATGCTATGTTTATTGATTTCAAAGAAATTGTCAACAAGTACCTATCTAGAATCACCTAATTCTTATTCATTATTAAAAAGTAAAAAATGGAAACAACTCATTTATAAATATCATACAAAAAACCAGTAAAGCTGACTCGAGAAAAAGGTGGTTCCAAAAGAGTCGTCGGTGATGAGATTAAATTTACATAGGGATTAAAACTGAATTAATTTTATTGAAAGAAATATAGCTTTGCATTTCAATTTTGACAACAAATTACAGGATGTCAAATACACCACATAAACGTCTTGCTGTCGACAGGATGTCACGTTAGGTAAGCTGGTTGATATTGATGGTCCAATACGATAATATATTTCATATAATATAAAGCAGGGACCCATTGGACAAGGTGACGTTCGCTCTCAGCCCCCACCATTTTTCCTGGCCATTATTATTTATCCAAGGCAGTATTTGTTTTTACAGCAATCACCACCTGAAAATAAAACATCCACGGTCAAGTTACATACATATCTTGAAGTTCCTTATACTACTGATAATTTTTATCAAGTTCAATGTTTTATTTTTCATTTAATTTTTTCGAGAATATTTATTTTGATTAATTTTATATTCATATTTCAAATGTGGGACAATAGGGCTATTGGCGAACACCCACTAAAAACAAGTAACCAGCCATGGGTGCCTCATGGGTGGTCTGGAAACTTACTAATATTCAATACTCTCATGTTCCAAAATGGATATACCGGGTGACACAGAGTATCGGGCCACCCCTGTAACTTCTGCATTCGTCAACGGATTTTTCTGAAATTCGGTACAGTTATATAAGCAACTATTTCGGATTTGATCACATTACAATTCAATATGGCGGACTTCCGGTTTTTCTGAAAATGCCAGCAATTTTGTTTTTTCAAATGGAACACCCTGTATATTTTTACATATTCAAGTTCACCAGCTCAAAATAAGTGCAGTCAAATGTCATTTATTCCACAGCCTACCTAGTTGAAAAATTATTCTAACTGCAAGGAAATTCATAAACTAGTTGTTGATTTTTGAATGTATACAATTTGTTACTGCACCGAAAAACAAAAATGATATGTCATTTTGTTCCTTAATGTATGTTTTAAAGAGACGGGTAGGTGGCCCATAGGGGTTCAATTTGAAAAAAAAAAAAATTTTTGATCAAAAAGTGATGTGGCTGAATTGATTCCTGGATAAGTGACACAAAAAATAATTTTTCAGAAAAAATTATGTTTTTCTGTTATGTGTGACTCATTGTGAATAGTCTTGACAACATCTCATTTATCCACGAGGTAAAATGAAAAAACAATTTTAATTTAATTTTTTTCGAAAAAATGACATTTGACATCAAGATTGCACTTTTTTTGACTTGTTCAACTTGAATATGTAAAAATATACAGGGTGTTTCATTTGAAAAATCAAAGGTGCTGGCATTTACAGAAATACCGGAAGTCCGCCATATTGGATTGTAATGTGATCAAATCCGAAATAATTGCTTATATAACTGTACCGAATTTCAGAAAAATCCGATGACGAAAGCAGAAGTTACAGGGGTGGCCCGATACCCTGTGTCACCCGGTATAGGTAATTTTTGAACAATCAAAAATTCATTATTCCAAATTTTTTGGGATTTTCTCTCCTCGTTTCTATAAAATAAAAATATGAATATTATTTCAATATACGTGTAGTAAGAAACGAGGAGAGAAAATCCCAAAAAATTTGGAATAATGAATGTTCCACCTGCTCGATTAACCTACAGACAGTATTTAATCAAAAATTCATTTAAAAACAGCTCTTATTTGTGGCAACGAAAAAAATATTTTACCCGCCGCTGTGAGCTGCGGCTTGTCAAAGGATTTGCCGACATGCAGCTGGTTAAATTTTTTTTTGTCTTTTTCAACTGACTTGGTATAAACTATACCAGAGAGATTTGATGAAAAAGGAGAATATCACCATACAGAGATACGATTGGGAGCCTTCTGTATATTTCAAACAAAATTCGACCAGATATGGCGTTTGCAGTAAGCTATGGAAGCAGCCATCTAGAAAATCCGTCAGAAGCAGATGTGACAAATATCAAAAGAATGTTGAGATATTTGAATGTAAATACTGAACTTGGGATAAAATATTAATCAAGCTGTGGAAACCAAATGAACCTAGATGCGTTTTGTCATGCAGATTATGCAGGAGATATGGAATCAAGACTAAGTACAACTTGATATATAATATTAACAAATACCATTGGCAGGAACTGATGGAATGTTTCTCCACTGCGTGTATATTTACCTCTTTTTAAAACAGGCAAGTGAGAAGGAAAACTATACATTGAGTGCAGAAACACTCCACCGGTTCCTGACAATGGGTAGTGGCGTAACTAGAATTTTTTGGCCCCAACGCAAAATACCTAAGGGGGCCCCCTTTCTGTCACAAATCACAAATAGTAAAAAAAAATGAGCTAAACGAGCATTATTTTTCTATTATTTTATTTTACATAATTAAACAACAACAATGAGTAACATAATTTTTTCATAAATAAAAAAAAACTTCAAAATAACTTGAAACTCAAAGTGTTTTTTCATTGAGAGAGAGAGAGAACATCTTTATTAGGGATATACCCCAAAAGGCCATTGACCGAAGTCTTTCAGCCCAGTTTACAAATATAATATATAAAGTATAAATATTAATAATAATAGTAATAATAGTTAAATGAGACAAAAAAAAAAAAAAAAAAGTTAATTGCTAATTGCTTTCTTGCTATCCTGTTTGCTGCATCTGGATCAGTCCTTGAAAAATGGTTATTTCTGGAAATTTTCTTTTTCTTGTGTAGTTTTCCGGCATCCCAATAACTTGTGGACTCATCACTGGGATATTGTAGGCGGACTTCGCGAATTTTGTGCTGAGTCTGTGTAGTCGTTGGAGGATGGGTTCTACTTTAGTGGAATTGTATAGTAGGGTATTGGAAGGGTTATGTAAGGGATTATTAGGATGTCGGATTTTAGTTATAGCTCTTAAACAACTTCTTTCTGCAACTTCAATGTGCTTTAGGGTAGTTTTTCTGCATGTGCTGAACAATATGTAGCTGTATTCAATAAGAGGTCGACATATGGCTTTGTATATTGATGTAGCTGTTGCTGTCTTTATACCCTGGGTCTTGTAAGTCAATCCACGAAAATGTTTGGCTCTTCCGATTGCTTTCTTCTTGACGGCTATTAGATGTTTCTGGAACTTGAGCTTATTGTCTATTAATACTCCAAGATATCTAGTTTCTGCTACTGGTTTTACGGTCTCATTCAGGATATCGATGGTCGGAGAATTGTCCTTTATTTTATGGTGGAAAATCATAAGTTTACACTTCTTCGGATTAGGTAATAGTCTCCAGCCGCAAAACCAATCCGTCAGCGCTGCAACCATAGTCTGGAGTCTGTCCATGAGTCCCACAATACTTCTGTCATGCGCAACCACTGCAGTGTCATCAGCAAACTGTAGTATGTAATTGTTCTCACTTACTGGTAGCTGATTGCCGATATCATAGCAAAAAATGTTGAATAATAGAGGAGCTATTGGGGACCCCTGAGGTACTCCCTGTGCTATGTTGAAATTTTCTGAAAGCACACCATTAATTTTTATTCTGTTTTGCCTGTTGGTGAGATATTCCTTCATTAACAAGAGTAGATAATTAGGACAGTTTAAATTGAATAGTTTGTATAGGAGACCTTTGTGCCAGACACTATCAAAAGCTTTTCTGATGTCCATGAACACAGCAGCAGAATGATAGCCCTGAAGGTAATTTGTTTGAATGTTTGATGTAAGAATGATTAATGGATGGATGGTAGATGTATTACTTTTGAAACCATATTGATTTGATGGTATATTCATTCCTATGCTATCTTGTAGTCGTTGTTTCAAAATATTTTCAAAGTTTTTTCCAATCACAGGTAGCAGTGTAATGGGCCGATAATTTTCTGGCTTGGAATGGTTTAGGTTAGCTTTGGGTATAGTTATCACAATTCCTTGTTTCCATTCCTTGGGGAAGTAGTGGGATTCAAGACAAAAGTTGTAAATTCTGATTATTTCATTATGTATGTTATCTGATAGTTTCCTCAAAATGTTCCTATTGATGTAATCATGGCCAGGTGCAGTATTCTTTCCCAAATTAATAGTTCTGAAGTATTCCTCCTCCGTAATATTTGGAGCATTATTCCTTACATCAATTTCAGCAAAAAACTCTCTATACTAACTAAACTTATTTAACGCTAAAATGTTTTTTTCTGGCTTTACACATTGCAAATTCATTTATCAAATCTCTCGGGTCTAATTTGTTGGCAGCTTCACTTTCGATGGACTTTAAAGATAAATATTTTAATAGCTCTTGCCCTATTTGATTCCTCAAATAACTTTTTATCAGTTTCAATTCACTAAATGATCTTTCAGCTGACGCAGATGTAATAAGGAATACGCATGATTTTCTGTTTAATCGAAATTATATTCCTTCTTCCTTATAATAACATTGGATATCATTCATTAATCTCAAATTTGCTTGTGACTCTAAAAAATTTCATTCAAATGAGGCTAAATAAGAAGTCACAGGAAAACGGGTTAGTGGCCATCACTAATATTATGACGTCATAGTATTAGGCCGCACAGCCATAGACTAGCGCGACAGAATGACAAGATTCAGATTGAAAAAAAAGAAGAAGAAGAGGTAGGAAAAGAAAATAGTTTTAAACGCCAAAAATTTGAAATTTGAAAATGGAAAATGATAATGTTTATACCAAATACTGTTTAGTGCCGCAATGCCTTTCATCAACAAAAGTATCACCAGGAAAAATATTCCTTTCATTGCCAGTGGGATCGAGTGATAAAAATAAAGAGAAAAGAAAATGATGGTTGCAAGCCATGAATAGAAATGATTTATCCGAGAAAACCAGAGGATTAGTTTGTGAAGACCATTTCGAAGTGAGTATACGTTCGAGTATGTCCTAGTGAAACCCATTATATTATATCAATGATTATGTTCCTCCTGTTAGGAGAATAATATAATATGTGATTTCGTTTTCAGCTTGAAGAAGATATGGAAAACTATATGAGATATAAATTGATAGGTGGTATAATATATATTTGAAACAACATGCAAAAAGAAGTTCTGTTTGATCATTCTTATTGTAGATATTTGCTTATTATAGAAACAACAAGCTCAGATAATCATAACCTCACTTTCTCTTCTTATATTATTTTCAATCATTCGGACATGAATGTTTGACATGACAAATAAAAACAGCGACATCCAGTCGGAAATCATCGCTGCAGTTCGGCTGTTGGTCGGAAAGTTGCAAATATTATGATTTCAAATCAGAAATTATTAAATATTCGGTGCTTCATAATGTTTTTCGGATGTATAATTCGACATCTATACATATGAGTAATGGAACAAAAATATATTCCAGTGTAACATTTTCACACGCGTATACCCTATTGGCATGGTAAAAAATAATAATAGGACAATATAAAAACTTGTGGAAAGTCACACTCCAAATAAATATATTTCATTAACAATAAATCGGCAAAATTTTTACAGACATTTCTGGATTTAACTCTGATGATTTCAACAATGTTACCATGTTAATAAATTGTAAAGACAAATTTGGCGATATTATTAGAGAATTTTTTTTTTAATATAGTCACACCTCTCAAGGATTTCAGACTCTGTTGAATTTATGAAATTTTCAGTTTGTAAAAATAAAAAGATATCACTCACTTCATTGAACCCTGTAAATCTATTTGTTAACTGAGATTGTATAACGTCAATAGTTGATAAAAAAACATTAATTTTGAAAAACTGTTCCCTAGAATCAAAACGATGATCTAAAGCTAATTCGTTGAATGCCGGTAATAAAATAATAATAATAATTTCCTATACGAATTCGATCGTCTATTCTACTTCAATATCCATCACATCATCTTTCATCATTCGTATCCGATTTGAATTCGAACGGTTCGAGAATGCCAGAACTAATGCAGAACATAGTGAAAATAATGTTTGCTTGACAGAAGTGTCCCTAGATTCAGTTAAAAGAAAACCTACAATATTAGGAACTGCTTCAAATATTCGCATATTTCAGTTTTTTTTTTATTAAAGAATGAAGAATGAGTAGTCCGGCGAGTGGGCCCCCCATGCTTGGGGGCCCCAACGCATTGCGCTCACTTGTCTTATGGTAGTTACGCCACTGAATTAGCTATTATTCTGCAGTGGACCTATAGCTTGGACTTCCCGTAAGCAACATATTACAGTGTTATCCAGTATAGAAGCTGAATATATTGCAGCAGCAGATTGTTGTAAGGAAGTTCTTCATCTGAAAACCCTTATTGAAGAAATAATTTCACAGAAAGTTGAAATGACTCATCATGTGGACAATCCCGAGTTCTATAATGCTTATCAAGAATGGTGCCATCAATAGAAGAAGCAAGAACATCGATGTACAATATCATTGTATACATGAGAAAGTTACTGAAAAACTCATCAGCATAGTGAATCGTCCAAGTTAAGATCAAGTAGCAGACATTCTTAAGAAACCATTCAACGAAGTTTTTGAAACAATGTTAATTTCATAATATTATTGTATTTCTACTCAGTGGTTCTTGTACACATTGTTGAATTGAGGGAAGGTGTTAAAAATAATCTAGCAATATGTGCATTCGATATTCATGTTGATAGTAGTTATGGTTTTATATATATTATATAATAAAATTAAATTTGGAAAAGTTCTTCATTCGATTCTGCAGTCTCTATATTATTTTTCAAGAACATGTAGTATTTCTCGATGAAAGCACGGTATATGTATGATCGAAAAATGATACATAAAATTCGAAAATACGTTCAGAGGTATAACTACATCTGCACAGAGAAACTTACTTCTTCCCCACAAGATTTGAGTACGGTACAGAGTATATCTTTTCCGGCATCATGGTCTGATCTCAGTTGTGCGCCAACCTCTCCATCTGGAATCTTGAGATCCTCACGTAATTCACCATTGTCAGACATGAGAGACAAGTATCCGTCATCAGAGATATCAGTCAATTGATAGTCCTCACGTTTTACATGTGGCACGTCCATGTTGTGCGTGGATGGACATATATCTTCATATTTTTTACCTGTAAATCAACAATGGACAAATTGTCAAATTGAGCTGGACCTTGATTAGGAATAGAATGAAAACGTACGTGAATTAGAAGCCATATTTCATGGGTATCACCACAATGTTTTCAAGAAGGAACAGTAAATTAATTAAGGAACAGTTAATTAATTAATTATATTCTTTATTATATTCAAGATCACAAGATCAGTCAAGTGAAGCACTTGAAATATTTTCTCCACTACTACTTCAGAACTAATCATTTTGCATGATATTTTCAACCAACCTGAGGATTTGTTCAACATTACTACTGGTCAATAACAGAATTTCAACTCCTACTAGTCAATAATGAAGCAATCTATCCTCTCTAACATACTCTGTTATGGGATTAAAGTTTGAAATGTCACTCATCTGACAACTCTCAACAACTTTCAATGACAACATCAACACAAGAAGATTTCAGGTCAAAAAATATGTGCTAGTTGTGGAAAATAGTTATTTTTTTTACTAGGCAGAAAAGCACAAGATTTAATGCCGCGGCTGGAGTTTCATTGCCAAGGCGTAGCCGAGGCTAGGAAACCAGCCAAGGCATTTAATCTGCTTTCATGCCATGTGAAACATATCAACTCAATTTTTTTCAAATACGGCCCTGATATTTTCATATCATTGCTGAGTTTCGAGCTCATTTTGGCCATCATCAAGTAAATTTTGGAATTCGGACCTGAATTTCTCATAATTCTGTGAGGGTTATTTGAATTTAGTTCAACATCATATGGAGGAAGCCCTGCACAATTTGACACTGGCGGAAATACAAGACTGTTGGTGCCACAGAACTCATAGACCTGGTGCCAGCAGGATGAGCACATACTCTGAACGCCCTGGCCAGCTCGTTCACCCGATGTGACCCCACCAGGCTTCTTTCTCTAGGGATATGTCAAGAAATATGCTTATGAGCGAGCCTTCGAAACAGAAGAACTCTGGCAAAGAGTACTGAATATCTAGAAGATGTTTCAATTACTGGGTTCCGTTTGTCGGTATGCTCGAACATTGCGTTTTTTGCTTTTCTCAGAAACCTTCGGGCCAACAAACGGTAGTGGTCGACGAAGGCGCGCTTGACGGTTATACTGGGGCGATTCCAATTTTAGCGCTCATACAGGGGACGTTCAGTAACGTTCACTCAAAATTCGAAAATTAGAATGATAGTCGTATTGGATATTTTAGAATAATCCGATTTGTATCAATCGAATAATAGTTTCTAATGATTCACTCTCAAATGATACACATTCGTTCTGAAAAACGTACCTAATTTATTAACATATTTACAGACACTAAAAATATAGATATAGCTTGTTTTGATGTTGAGACTACCGTTTTCTCTAGTGACGTATTTTATTCTTGTAATGCCAATTTTCTTGGAGTTCCTGATGTTAGTTTGACATATGTTTTGACTGCATTCATCTGAAAGAGATTTTCATAATAACTAATAATTATATACCTTGTATGTCGGTATGTCGGTATGTGATGACATTTTTGAGACATTCATAATCCAACCCTATTATATGAATTCTCACCTTACTCTAATACCCGATCTGTTTGAACCTGGGCATCCATATGAACTTGATTAGGGAGAAGAGGTAGGTGTTGGGATTTTTTTTCAACTTTTGCAGATTATGAGTTCTTGGATTAATAAAGTGTATCTATGTTTGTAAATGAGAATTGAATATAAACCTATGTAGTAATTATCATAGAATATCTAGAATTGTTGACACAGGGTATCAAATATATTTGTTTACTTAGATTATTTGAATGAATGCACTACACATATTTAGGTAAATTTGTAAACTTCATTGAACTAACCTTCTTGAGAAATTCCTGTTGGCAGAAGCAGAGTTTCATCTTCAAATTTTTCTGGCAGAAGTAATAAAAGAACTGTATATTTATGAATTCGAGAACTTACAAAATCATCATCTCTGAAACAAAAGCTGCAAATTTTATTTGAGTTCTCCTCTGGCGTAAGATTTGCACATCTATGAGTCCTGACAAAGCCTAATACATTTTTCCCACGTTGACATCTGAAATGTGTTATGTATATATCTATTGTAGTTTCGCCAACCTGGTTAACTTTTGAACCGACCGAAACAAAGAATTCAAATTTTGAAATGTCAAATTGGAAGACGTGATATATATTTGCCCTAACGTAAAACACTCGTCACACAAAATATTATAACAATATTATATTTTGAATAATTCATATAAGATACTATAATGAGTAAATTAATACATAACATACCTTTCGATGTATTTTGGACAACGAAAAAACGAAAGACCTTGGCTTCCCACTATACTAGAGCAACCATCCACTGAGCAATGAGTAGGCATTTCACAGTACGATTGATTCAACACTCCCTTTGAAACCGAAAAATTAACGAGTGAACTGTCTTATAGTTGTTCTGTAGTCTATGATAAAGAATGTTTGAAATTCAACAGAAAAAAGATAACATGAATGCTTAGAAAGCATTTGATTGATTGAAACTTTGAACCTATGGAATTCGTGATACAGCCGCAAACTGGTTCAAATCTTACATCTCTGATAGAAGTCAATATGTTGAAATTAAAGCTACCAATAAAGACGGTACAGTAGTCTTTGATCAATCAAACACCACAGAACTCAAAATGGGGGTTCCCAAAGGCACTGTTCTAGCACCTATGCTTTTTTTCCTCTATATTGCTGATCTAATTGATTATCTGCCAGGGCATATTATGATCACTCTCAACGGTGATGACTCCTCCTTCTTGATGCAAAAATGCAATTCACTGCTTGCGAAAATGTACACATGGTTCTCGGCAAACCAGCTATATCTAAACCTCAGTAAAACAAATTTTCTAATATTCCACACTAAACAAAGGACAGTTGACCCACTGATATTACATTTAAACAACTCTAATCTGGAACGAGTATCACACTACATGAATCAATGGACTGGCATGAACATTCAAGCTGCCTAATCAAAGTGATGAATTCCAGAACTTTTATCAACTCAGATGTATGCGCAAAGTCATAGATATCGAGAAATACAATCACGTCTAATATATGACATAATTCTGTCTGGTACTTCCCCAGTCTTCAAAAATCTCTTCTTAACCCAGAAAAAAATTATTCGAACCATCCTCAATAAGCCAAGGTCTCACCCTTGCAAGCCACTGTTCATACAACTTACCATTCTACCACTAGCTTGTCTGTATATACTCGAGGTTGCTTGTTATATATACCGCAATAGAAATAATCTTATTGCACACACTGACATACAATTCTATTCAACAAAGTATCAACCTACTTCACCCACCCAACAAAACCTTACAACTAACCTACACCCCCTACAAACATGGGTGTCAAAATTTTTAACAATTTGTCAGGAAGTGTCAGGGATTGTACCACTCATCTCAAATCCAGGAATAGCCTGAAAGCCCTCCTCACTGAAAATATGTTTTACTCACTTACTGAGATCTTTGACTATGTTTCATGAACTGTTTTTAATTTTTTTGAAGTTATTTTATCCAAAATTTTTGCTAAACTCATATTATTCTTGAGAGTAGGTACTCATTACTATTATTGTATTGTATTTATTCACAACCAAAAACTGAAAAACATAATTTAAAATGGAAAGTTGTGAAACATTTTTAATCTTCATCATTTCAGATTTAGTTATCATAATGATCATATTCAATCAAATTATATTTGAAGGCCCCTATTGATTCTCAGTATGTTCATTGAAAAAAAATATTGAAATCAGTTTTTTTATTATCAAAATTTCAATGTTAGGCAATTTATTTATTTGAAGCTGAACCTGTTCACATAGAATTCAGGGATTTCACAGCATTCCTCAGTGATGACGAGCGAGTCGCTATTCGCGCAAGTCTGTGCGTGTGGACACTAACATCAAACGTTCTGACATAAGTGAAATTAATGTTTTCCGTAAAGGTCTATACTGTGATTGAAGTGTTCAAAATTGCATGTTTTATTTACTGAGTGTTTGTAAAAGAGCGACACCCGGACGTTATTATAACAATATGAACACTAAAATGTAACAATACAATACAAGCACCAACAATTATCCTAAATATATTCTCTATAAAATGTATTGAAAAATAGTCATCTATTCATCATTATCTAGAATCAATTGGTATCGAATTGATGAAAATATATTTAATGGAAATATTTGTCTCATTGTAATTCAAACTAGTTATTGTGAGTTTTTCAAATCTTTTTGTGTTATAGCTGTAGAAAAAATATATGATAGCAAGCTTGTTGAGATATAAAACCTGAAATTAGATATTCCTGAAATTTGTTCTTAATCTTGACACAAAACCATTCATTTTGAAAATACTGTACATAAATCAGACAATGAATGTTGAATCAAATAAGTACCATAGTTATAAACTAAACTGGAAACACATAAGAATGTTACTATGACTACAATAAACCACTCAAACTGGGGTAAAATACCAAAACTCTTCAATAATCTCAAATTCACTATGGAAAAATGTTAAACACAAAGCAAAACAGTGAATAACTGAAACTAATCCGGCTCTGTCTCAAGTCTATGTCAGACAAAATGACAGCTGCTGATAGAAGTTCATGATAATTCATGGATCTCTTGTTTTGTAAAGCTGTTGACCATCAGTTACAGGAAGTTTTATACGAAAAATGAACTACATCCTAATACATAACCATGAGATTTGCATATGAAAATATATAACTGACAATGTTGCCCACAACATGTGCATCGATTTCCCACACTTGCATTAACCTTTTAGGTCTTTGAGTTCTGTGGGGCAGAGTAAATAGAATTGAATTTATATTTCATATGAATCACCCTTCCTGTAAGATCCCACTACATGTCAGAAAAATAAGCTCCATAGAATGTACAGAATAACTCACTTATAATATCCAACTTTGACTTTATAAGCAAATAATTGAAAACTTTCTAAATTTCAGGGTGTCCCAAAATTCAATGGTATCCGTTGGAGGGCAGATAGTCCAGCTCATGACAGACGGGAATAGCACAAAATGACCTTAGTAAAATATTGATATTTTGGAGATATTGACACTTTTATGAATTCTAAATAGTCACTGCAAGCCACTCACTCATTATTGAAATAATTTCAAAATGGTCTCCTAGTGAATGATAAAGAATGTTCATATCAAAAACTTCACTGAATATGCAATTTTTCAATATAATGTGCCAGCTTCATGTGGTGATTTTGTTAACACTATGAAGAGTATAAGTAAGCTTATTAAAATAAATCAATTCTTGAATCAGACAAACATGTTTTGATTTTGGATTGTGATCAATGGAAGTGTTATTACAGTTTGCATAACAAGAATTAGAATCTTAAAACTATGAAGTTGAATACCTGCAGCACTAAAAATACTGATCAAAGGTTTAGATTGTTACAAAATTTATAAAAGTGCCAATTTCTCCAAAACAACCAATATTTTACAGAGGTCATATTGTCATATTTTGTTCAGCCATGAACTGGACTAACAGACCTGCAAAGGAGTTTTGGGACACCCTGTATATTATTAAATATATTATATTTATTCATCATTTGAAATGAAGACATTTTTCTAAAAAAAAATGTCTATATATCTACATCATTGTCATTTGGAAATTTAATATCCTCAAATTTTTTCAATCTGTTTTCAATAATGAAACAAACACTCTGTATATTAAAAAAAGTATGTAGTAGATAGATGTTCAAAAAATGATGTAACAAAGTTATGCCACAATCAGATTTCAAATATTAATATAGCAATTCAATGATACATAAATACTGATACTGATGCTGCTTTTTTTATGATCAACTCAAAATCTGATCAAGTTGAAATGAATTTAAATAAAATTTCTCACACATAGTATCCACAAATCTTTTGTGAAATATCAAATTTGTGATACACATCATTGATTCATGAAAAAAAATTCAATGCAGTGATAAATTAATCATTCCATTCAAAAATAACATAATTTTTGCCTGTTTGGTGCTCCTTTAAAAAACAAAGAAACTTGAAATGGTACCAGTTTTTTTGTATTATTTTGTGCTAATTATGTCATTAAAATCTTTGTAATTATGGTACAGCTATAGCTTTTGGTGACATATCTCTCATAATATATTACAATTTGGGTAAAAAACTATTAATCTGAGCATCCTGTATTTTTTCATGATTTTACAATCAGTACCATGAATCTAGACTGATAATACTTAATTATAAATATGGAGATAACAAATAAGAATTTTGAATTGTTTAATCCCTTGATAAGATCAAAGAATAACCTTGACCTCACATTTATACTTCAAAGCATTGATAGTCAGAGAGCACTGGTGAAATTCTCGCTCTAGTGAAATGTTCTTTCTGCAATTCAGCCTTTTATTTGAACCAAAAAAAAAATTGATAATATGCTACAATATGGAATATCATTCACTGAAATTTTTCACACAAATTTGATTGAAGCAAGGATAATATCATAATTATTTCATCTGTTTCACTCAAGATAATGAAACATTGAGAATTAACCAATCAATAAGGTTACTTAGGACCAGGATAATCATTGAATATCAATCATGAATTGTGCCCAGTCATAATTTTCATACACTAGTAACAAATTCTGAAACACATACAAACACTTTTTGAGTCTGATTGATGGGAAAACTAAATCTTTCATTTCTAGCAAAACATTAATTGTCTGTCCATAGAAATTATTAATATTTAATTAACATTCAATTTATATTCAACATGATAGTTGAAATATCAGTCTTACATTTGAGAGCTCATAGAATTTCACTTATTGCTTTCATTTAATTTTTATTCAAATTAATACTGATAAGATAGCAATCTTTTCATTGCAATAAATTAAATTCAACCTGTTGTGGCCTGCTGTTACCAACATTCAATAACAACTAAAAAAAAAACATTTGAAATAAGATTTGCATTGAGCATTAGTGTCAGTTATACCAATATATAAATCTGAAAATAACATTATTTGTCTTTGCCCATACAAGTATTTCTTAGATGCATTGAGGACCCACACTTGCTTATGATAAAATAGAATCAAAGATAATATAATTTAGTTCTATGGATAGACCAAAGTCTTTATTACTTTTGTGATTTGGTACTTGAAAATCATCATCAAAAACAAAACTGACCAGCTAAGACCTTTTTGTACATTTTATTTTGTATATGGATAGATTCTTTCATTATAAGGTAAAACTGCATTTAGCATGCGATGGGTTTTTTTTCGAAAATTTTTTTTGGTACTTACGTATTTTTGTCTGAAAAACACGAATTTGATAATGAAAATGTGAACAAACCACTATTTATCGAGATATTTCAAAAAAAAGTTCGAAATTTCCACTCCTTTTTCCCCTTGCGTTGGATGCATTTTCAGGTACTTGCTCTTCTTATTTTGTCATTGGACACTTTATATACTCATGATGTACTTCAATGACACATTTTTATACAGAAAATTCAACAGGAAATATGATTTTTATGGTGAGTTTTTCCTATTCAGTGAGCAAGCATACCAGATGACGGCCATTTTATCCATAGGCAATCCAAATACCAGATGTCAAATGTCAATAGATTGCTTTGGAATGACATTACACACGCCATTATTTCAAATGATATTCTTCCTTCTTTTCAATAAATATGGATAAATCACAAGAAAATCATATTTCTAGTTGACTCAATAATAGAAAAAAATGTGTCTTACATTGTGATATATATAAATTGTCCAATGGTGAAAAAAGAAGGGTGAATTAATTGTTTAAAATTCAATCCAGAAGACAGGCGGAAAAGAAGGTGGAATTTGAAACTTTATAGTGAAATATCTTGATAAATAATGGTTTGTTCACATTTTCATTATCAAATTCGTGTTTTTCAGACAAAAATACGTAAGTACCAAAAAAAATTTTCGGAAAAAAACCCATCGCATGCTAAATGCAGTTTTACCCATTATAATGTATAAGATAGTATTCAATTTCTAACAATAGTTCACTCACCTGAGAAGATATCAATGCCAACCAAGTGAACTTTAGCATGACCATGTTTACCAGTTTTGGATGTAGACATTTCAACAATCTTGCAGGGTCTAGCTTTCAACATAACAAAACCGTTTTTACGTAGGGCTGAACATTGCATAGGAAAAGTTGCTGAGGCTCCAGAGTCTCCAGTTTCGAAGTGTGTGTCTTCAATGTCTGCCATTGTTGTTTATTAGTTTTTGGGTCTAACCTTGTAAGCTGAAAAAAATAACATAAGTAATAACTTAATCTATCATTTATTCGGCGTTAACTACGGCCCAAGCTGCAGCTGTGTCCACGCGGCTCAGGAACATGTGGTTAGAAAACACTGACCTATTATAGGGTGATATTATCAGTTAACTTTTGAGACTTAACACAAAATCAGGACATAAATATTTCTCTCGAACTAATTGTGTTATTCTAATTGCAATTATTTATATACTTCCAGTGTATTCCACGAGAATTGTTAATAATCTAATGCAACATGGCGCGAATATAGCCAAATCATGCACTGTCAAATAATCCGACATTTTTCACAACTTTCCAAAAAACAACCACTTGTTCATGTATCATCGTAACTATGGAACTATCATATTTTTAACATCGTTGCAATCACATTATGTTTGTATAATTACTCAGAAATTATTACAATGATTAAAATACTCACATGGTGATCAAGATGGAATCTTGTCCAAAAGACACAAATTGAGCATGCGCGTAAAAATGTAAACGGTTCAGTCATGGAACATTAAAAGAAAAAGACATTGCATAGGAAGTAAAGTTTCTGGCGCTAAATTCGAAATTTCAATCTCATGGAATATAAACGCTGTCCAGCGTCCGACCAATGACGGCTAAATATCAAGAAGATCTCGATATAAGAGCGTCTTGGACCAGGAAACAGCCATGGATGTCGACTTCACTCCGCTCTGACCGATAATTATTCCGAATTCAACTAATAAATAGTACAAAATAAACAGTTTTCTAATTGATTTAAAAACGGGTTCTGTCCGTGTGTCTGTCTACATTTATCTTCAGAATCAGAGGAGGCTAATAAGATTTTATTTATTAATCCTCATTACACCATTTTCTAAAAACCTCTCAATAATCTCAAAATTCAAAAATTCCTCAATATTTTTGTCATCGTGGTCCGCTAGTGTTACTGCTGGACCGAATTGGTTTGCACGCTTTGACAACTGATTTGGACCGAATTCTGAACTCACTATCGAACTTATGAAATCCGTTTTACCTCACACGAATTTCTTTTATTCGTCTGAGCGTTTTACCGTTACTTTATAATCTCACATGAAAATTTATTTCTTATGGCAGCCAAGTTTTCTAACCTTGGCATGCAGCAGCTGTATTAATATTATACCCTCGTTCAATTTCATACATATAGAGATTAGAGATTAAAATTGGTTTTAATACCTCGTATCAAAAATTATGTGTTCTGTACGACAGAGGATAAGGATATTAGCCTTATTGCAGGCATTTTTCAGTTTTATTCCCAATATTTCAATATTTTTGTTTGCTTTATTAAGTTTCAAGCGACACTCAGTGACAGCAGCGCTTAGACCGCTTCACATGCGCTTCAGCGTTAATCTTCTTTGTTCTAACCTTAGATCATACAGAATATGATCTAAGGTCCTAACTGTGAGTAGATTCACTCTGAGAACGAGGAATGACGTGTTCCATGACGTCATAATGACTCACTAGCTAGCGTTAATCGAAACAACCATTGCGCCCTTATAGCGATTTGAGTGGCATGTCAGTCTCCTCCAAATCGTTGATGTATTTCTCGCAAAGCAATTCGAAATTGCGCATTTTATTACAATAGTTTGATGGATTTCCATCAACATTCTAGCGGAATTTTTGCAACTGTTCGATGGTTTCTTCAATCCATGCACATGAAAACATATTGTAATGAAAAATGCACCCAAGTTTGTGGTTTGATCCATCTGATGCCAACTTTCTGAAAGACACTGCTGGATGGTCTGTCCAAACAATCTAACCTAACTTGGCCTGAAATAAAACTTCTTTCTATGAAGTATAGTAGTAGTATATGGGTATATGTACTTTGTTGATGTGAATGTGCACACCAACTAGCTATCGACCTTACCAGAGGTCCTTCAGCTACGTGTGTTCTGTGTAGACTTTCATATGTTACCTTAGGCGTAGCTCTGTCAATTGGAACGCAACATTGAATCGTGCGTTTTAAAAAAATCACTAAAGAGCAGCTAAAGATTGGCTAAAGAGAACCAAAGAGACTACTCATTCTGAACAATCTAACCCAACTTTGCCTAGAGTTGAACCTCGCGGGAATTGACGATCCGAGCATCAGGCGTGGCGATCGGACGCTTTCTCGCTATCGCTGTACCAATTGCTAACTTGAGAGTTATTTCAAGAGAGAATTGCATCTCATACTCACCAGCAACCAGCAGATACGCCTGTTATGTACATATTGCTAGTCAGCAGTGACACTAGTGACAACCATCAGTGCCAGCGGTAGCGGCACTCATAGGAAACATGACTCGTCATGAACGACAGTTTGAGTTGAAAAGTTTCCGGGAGATATGGAGAACCGGGTGTCCCAATTTACCGTTTGCAGGCCATATCTTGTAACTCGCTTTTTTTGACAAGATAATTGAAAAATCGAAAACTGCTCTGGATGGCATCGAAGTACCTTCCATATGACTTATGAAACATGTATCACATTTGACAGCCCTGTGGTAGGTATAGCTACCTCTCAGTGTGATCCCAAACACTTTCTTGGGCCATCAGGGAAATGTTTGCAGTCGTTAGGATTTGAATCCACGACCGGTGAATCAACGTGAATAGAATACTAACACTTCTACCACATGGCTACCTGCCCCCCTGGGCTGTCAAATGTAAAAATGTTTTTGAAAGTCATTAGGAAGATACTTATCAACATACAAAATCACCCTGGTGCCACGCTCACGTCATTATAATGAAAAAAAGTCAATATAATGAGAAAAAAAGCCAATATAATAGAAAAAAGTCGGAATAAAGAGGAAAAGGTCATTATAATAAGAAAAAAGTCATCATATAATGACTTTTCAAAAAAAAAGTTTGCGTGACACCAGGGTGCTCTCGTATCAATACCATTAAAAGCAGCTTTTTTATTTTATATATTGACTGTATACGATAATTTGGGACACGACAAGTGTTATTTCTCCCATTATTGACACAGTGATAACGATAGCGTTATCGAAATAATATTTCTTCATTAGTACTGCATGATGAGGAAGCTGATGCAGCAGCTGTATAATATAACGTCTTGGTTCAATTTCATACGTAATAGTGATTCATTGATTTCAATATCTCGTATCGAAAATTATGTAGAGAGAGTTGTCTCTGTATTATGTACAATAGTATCTATATCAAGACTTTTTCCCTTTATTTACTTTTTCAAGTTTCAAGTGACAGTAGTGACAGTGACACTATTGACAGCAGCGCTTAGACGTTACCCCCGATGTGGTGTCGGTGATCGGTGGTAACGGCTTAGACCGCTCCACCTCTGTAACTGTAAGCACTCTGAACGCGAGGAGTGACGTAATCCATGATGTCATAACGACTCACGGTGAATATATACAATCGTTCAAACTTCAAAGCGTTTATCAGATTATAGCGTACTCAAAGCGATTTGAGTGCGATTCGGACCGTGGTGTAGATACCACGGTTATAGTTATGTCAGTGGGCGCGATAAGAAGTGTGTTCGCCTGGACCCGGACATGGCTAGCTGACAACACTGATGATAGTTTTATGTTCTATGTTATATTAGTTCTAAAGTCATGTAGGCCGAAAGTCCACTGTGAAACAGTCGACGATAGTCAATATTCGATAAAACAAATGAAATGCATTCATTGGATTGGCATTGTTGATGTTTATTATTAGTATTAGTTAATTCGAAGTTCAAAGTTTGAAATTGAAATTACAAGGTAAAACACGGTCTTACGACAAATATACTAATCCATTAGTACGACCGTTACTATTTTTAACAATACTTTATTCCATAACTTATTTCAGGTATTCCACATAATACTTAACAATATATTGCCTTTAGATTTTAGAATAAAATAATGGAAAATGTTTTTCATTGAAGACATCAAGGAGGTATGTAAAATTTGTACTCTGGATTAATTCGTTTTGTATTTAGTTATCTTGATTCACCTTGCCCTTGTCCTAATTGTATAATTGTATTGTTGCTCTAGTCAGATCATTCCAATGCAGGTGATAACTTATAAATTTAATTCTTATAATACATTTTGTGAATATAATAGATTAGACACCTTCTATAATAGTTTGAACTGCAAGATATTGTTCTAGAATGACCCTTCAAATGAACTGTATATGCAGAATCTGAAGAAATGGAAAAGACAATTCCACCAAACAAAGGATTCCAAAGTCTTGACTGACTGTATCATCAAGTTCATTGAATATGTTATAAATTACACATCTGGAATAAGTTGTCACAGTCAAATATCCATATGCCGCAGTAGCTTTGCATTATTTCAGGTAACAATGAACCTACTGATATCTTGTTCATGTCATTAGAATCCACACATTTTCTCTGTGTTTCAGGAGCTAGTTGATGATAATTTTGTTGATAATTTTGTGAGATATGTTACACAGATGATATTTGATATCATTATAGAGGAAGGCAAGAATACCTGGTGCATCAAAAAGGAAATATTGAAGTCATTCAATTACTGTATTAGAAATGCAAGCAAAGCTATCAGATATAAAACTGTCAGTGAGTTATCTGATATTTATCTGTGAGTATTTCACTATACTTATAATGATCAATCCATGAATGAACATATTTATGTACTAGTAAAATCATTAACATAATTTTTTAACTCACCTTTATCTACCAGAAGTTTAATGAGTCAGTGTCAATTATATCATTTATAAAAGGTGATAACTATGTTATATAATGAGGTATAGTTATACTTGAGGTTATACTGATGCTCTGATGACACAGTTCTCTTTTAGTTCAGGTAAAAAATACCTATCTGCACCACATATATGTGGTGTTCACATTGCTTGAAAATGGTAAATCAGTTGCTTGAAACTAGGGTTATACCCCTTAGGTGCTTCCTGCATCTGATTAAACCCTTCAACTGTGATGATCATAACATATTATAGCTTGAACTTGATGGCTTGTGAAGGCTGCCATATATTGGTTTGATACATATTCAACCCTCAATTCAATCCACAGGGGAATGAAACACACATACCTCATGAAATTGGTAATTATATCACTAAGCACCACTGTTAACATTACATTAAAGTTACTGTAGGAACCCTCAAGAGATTATTATCAGGTCTCATGCTATTTTTGATTTATATAATCCATATCAATATTCTAGACTTTCCTTCAATTAAGTCTGGAAATCATCTTCTCAAAGTGGTCAAATTTTTGAAAATACAATAAATTCTAAATCTGTGAGGGGTTGACCACTTTGGAGAAATGTGTACACTGGAATTCCCATAAATTGGTATACCATGAAATTTCTATACAAAAAAATATGTCAATTTGAACAAATAAATTGTTGAGAATTAATCAAAGTAATTAAGAAGAGCATGCTTTATACATTTAATTCTTCATTATCAAATACATCACACAGAATTATTCATTCAACTCAACTCTTTATTTATTATTTTATCAACAACTTCTATGACAACCATAATTAGCCTTCTAGACTAAACATGAAAGGTTTATCAACATTGATAGGTTTGTTCAAAGTTACAGTCTGTTTCAGATATTCCAACAACCACCTCCAAACCTGGCAGTGTCTATAGAAATAAATTTTAGGTTTTCAATTTTTCACATTCAATAATTTCACAAATCACCTGAATTATCATAACATGAAAATGTAGTAAACACATCAGCTAATGGGCTTATATCACAAAAACTTTTTATTTCATAATTCACAAGAACTCACCCAAACTAGCTCTCCACCGCAAACCGTTTCTTGCTGTGAGCTCCCTACGTTTTATGAAAAAATATTGAAATCTCCGATTTTTCGGACCTCTGAAAACGAGGCGATGATGTGACGTCAAAACCCTGATACTGAAACAAGACTATTCCAGACAGAGATAAATGATACATGATTTCTGACAGAGTGAATTAGCGCGAGATCACAGTTGAAAGAATTAATATATCAGTTGCCTCAGTCTCCGTCGGGCGTTTGGTATTTTCTTTTAACTATGGCGAGATGAGGTTCATACGTCATAAGAGGTTCCTTTTTCAGAGGGTACTATTATTTATGTCCAAAAATAAAACTTTCCAGTTAATTTTCCGATCGAATTATGTCGTCAATCATTATTTATGTATAAAAGGATCATTATAAACATGGTTTGAGTTAAAAGTTCTACTAAGGTGTACACGCCCATTGTTCATTTGTTTACATCTATTATTTTAAAAATTTTGAGGCAGTTTAATGGTACTTTGATTATCTTCTTCTTTATCTTCTTTATCTTCTTCATCTTCTTTATCTTCTTTATCTTCTTTATCTTCTTTATCTTCTTTATCTTCTTCATCTTCTTCATCTTCTTCATCTTCTTTATCTTCTTTATCTTCTTTATCTTCTTTATCTTCTTTATCTTCTTTATCTTCTTTATCTTCTTTATCTTCTTTATCTTCTTTATCTTCTTTATCTTCTTTATCTTCTTTATCTTCTTTATCTTCTTTATCTTCTTTATCTTCTTTATCTTCTTTATCTTCTTTATCTTCTTTATCTTCTTTATCTTCTTTATCTTCTTTATCTTCTTTATCTTCTTTATCTTCTTTATCTTCTTTATCTTCTTTATCTTCTTTATCTTCTTTATCTTCTTTATCTTCTTTATCTTCTTTATCTTCTTTATCTTCTTTATCTTCTTTATCTTCTTTATCTTCTTTATCTTCTTTATCTTCTTTATCTTCTTTATCTTCTTTATCTTCTTTATCTTCTTTATCTTCTTTATCTTCTTTATCTTCTTTATCTTCTTTATCTTCTTTATCTTCTTTATCTTCTTTATCTTCTTTATCTTCTTCATCTTCTTCATCTTCTTCATCTTCTTTATCTTCTTTATCTTCTTTATCTTCTTTATCTTCTTTATCTTCTTTATCTTCTTTATCTTCTTTATCTTCTTTATCTTCTTCATCTTCTTCATCTTCTTCATCTTCTTCATCTTCTTCATCTTCTTCATCTTCTTCATCTTCTTCATCTTCTTCATCTTCTTCATCTTCTTCATCTTCTTCATCTTCTTCATCTTCTTCATCTTCTTCATCTTCTTCATCTTCTTCATCTTCTTCATCTTCTTCATCTTCTTCATCTTCTTCATCTTCTTCATCTTCTTCATCTTCTTCATCTTCTTCATCTTCTTCATCTTCTTCATCTTCTTCATCTTCTTCATCTTCTTCATCCTCTTCATCTTCTTCATCTTCTTCATCTTCTTCATCTTCATCTTCTTCATCTTCTTCATCTTCTTCATCTTCTTCATCTTCTTCATCTTCTTCATCTTCTTCATCTTCTTCATCTTCTTCATCTTCTTCATCTTCTTCATCTTCTCCATCTTCTTCATCTTCTTCATCTTCTTCATCTTCTTCATCTTCTTCATCTTCTTCATCTTCTTCATCTTCTTCATCTTCTTCATCTTCTTCATCTTCTTCATCTTCTTCATCTTCTTCATCTTCTTCATCTTCTTCATCTTCTTCATCTCCTTCATCTTCTTCATCTTCTTCATCTTCTTCATCTCCTTCATCTTCTTCATCTTCTTTATCTTCTTTATCTTCTTTATCTTCTTTATCTTCTTTATCTTCTTTATCTTCTTTATCTTCTTTATCTTCTTTATCTTCTTTATCTTCTTTATCTTCTTTATCTTCTTTATCTTCTTTATCTTCTTTATCTTCTTTATCTTCTTTATCTTCTTTATCTTCTTTATCTTCTTTATCTTCTTTATCTTCTTTATCTTCTTTATCTTCTTTATCTTCTTTATCTTCTTTATCTTCTTTATCTTCTTTATCTTCTTTATCTTCTTTATCTTCTTTATCTTCTTTATCTTCTTTATCTTCTTTATCTTCTTTATCTTCTTTATCTTCTTTATCTTCTTTATCTTCTTTATCTTCTTTATCTTCTTTATCTTCTTTATCTTCTTTATCTTCTTTATCTTCTTTATCTTCTTTATCTTCTTTATCTTCTTTATCTTCTTTATCTTCTTTATCTTCTTTATCTTCTTTATCTTCTTTATCTTCTTTATCTTCTTTATCTTCTTTTTCTTCTTTATCTTCTTTATCTTCTTTATCTCCTTCATCTTCTTCATCTTCTTCATCTTCTTTATCTTTATCTTCTTTATCTTCTTTATCTTCTTTATCTTCTTTATCTTCTTTATCTTCTTTATCTTCTTTATCTTCTTTATCTTCTTTATCTTCTTTATCTTCTTTATCTTCTTTATCTTCTTTATCTTCTTTATCTTCTTTATCTTCTTTATCTTCTTTATCTTCTTTATCTTCTTTATCTTCTTTATCTTCTGTATCTTCTTTATCTTCTTCATCTTCTGTATCTTCTTTATCTTCTTTATCTTCTGTATCTTCTTTATCTTCTTTATCTTCTGTATCTTCTTTATCTTCTTTATCTTCTTTATCTTCTTTATCTTCTTTATCTTCTTTATCTTCTTTATCTTCTTTATCTTCTTTATCTTCTTTATCTTCTTTATCTTCTTTATCTTCTTTATCTTCCATATCTTCTTTATCTTCTTTATCTTCTTTATCTTCTTTATCTTCTTTATCTTCTTTATCTTCTTTATCTTCTTTATCTTCTTTATCTTCTTTATCTTCTTTATCTTCTTTATCTTCTTTATCTTCTTTATCTTCTTTATCTTCTTTATCTTCTTTATCTTCTTTATCTTCTTTATCTTCTTTATCTTCTTTATCTTCTTTATCTTCTTTATCTTCTTTATCTTCTTTATCTTCTTTATCTTCTTTATCTTCTTTATCTTCTTTATCTTCTTTATCTTCTTTATCTTCTTTATCTTCTTTATCTTCTTTATCTTCTTTATCTTCTTTATCTTCTTTATCTTCTTTATCTTCTTTATCTTCTTTATCTTCTTTATCTTCTTTATCTTCTTTATCTTCTTTATCTTCTTTATCTCCTTCATCTTCTTCATCTTCTTCATCTTCTTTATCTTTATCTTCTTTATCTTCTTTATCTTCTTTATCTTCTTTATCTTCTTTATCTTCTTTATCTTCTTTATCTTCTTTATCTTCTTTATCTTCTTTATCTTCTTTATCTTCTTTATCTTCTTTATCTTCTTTATCTTCTTTATCTTCTTTATCTTCTTTATCTTCTTTATCTTCTTTATCTTCTTTATCTTCTTTATCTTCTTTATCTTCTTTATCTTCTTTATCTTCTGTATCTTCTTTATCTTCTTCATCTTCTTCATCTTCTGTATCTTCTTTATCTTCTTTATCTTCTGTATCTTCTTTATCTTCTGTATCTTCTTTATCTTCTTTATCTTCTTTATCTTCTTTATCTTCTTTATCTTCTTTATCTTCTTTATCTTCTTTATCTTCTTTATCTTCCATATCTTCTTTATCTTCTTTATCTTCTTTATCTTCTTTATCTTCTTTATCTTCTTTATCTTCTTTATCTTCTTTATCTTCTTTATCTTCTTTATCTTCTTTATCTTCTTTATCTTCTTTATCTTCTTTATCTTCTTTATCTTCTTTATCTTCTTTATCTTCTTTATCTTCTTTATCTTCTTTATCTTCTTTATCTTCTTCATCTTCTTC